TTTCAGGTTATTTAATGAATCATAGAAAACAGTATCAGCAAAGCGAGAAACAGATGAAACGCTTTATCAGCTGTTGAGGTTAGAGTAGAAAATATAGATCAGGGAGTGAGAGAGAGAGTACTGAGAGGCTGGGTAAGTATCCAATACTTATATACATTCAAGAAAGATCCATTTAAATAAGGTTTAGCTTAGCATTTACAATTCTACTAAAAACATCCAGAAAGTTTAGCTGGCGTTGTGGCCGGCTTTAACCGTCTTCTTCAGGTGATGATAGTTTGGCAGAATCTTCATCAGAAAGTCGAGCTGAAGAGTCTGGGGCTGGAAAGACGACAAACACAAACATGCTGATAAGCCGAGGACACAAAGGACGTGTTTGAAAATCCTTCACATCGACCTGACTACAACCACAGAAGAGTTCTCAGACATTAAAAATAGATGTTGATTAAGGAGGACGACCTCAATGTTGATCTGTGATTAAAAAACACGACCAAACTGAACATTTCCAAGCACAGTTTAACCAACATGTGCCTTTTTTTCAGTCATATTTAACATGACGTATAAAGGGACGTCACAGAGGCGGCAGATGAAGCCACAGCGTCCAGATATTCTACAATTCTTCAATTCACTTAGCAGACGCTTTTATCCAAAGCGACGTACATCAGAGAGTAAGTAAAACAGAAACAAGGATCTAGAAAACAGGGAACAATGTCAGGAAGAGCAAACGATCAGCTTTGAGTCTGATTGGACACACAGGTGCTGACAGGAAGTGACCAGAGGCAAAGCACAACATTGAGGGCAGTTCTTGAGAGCTCTAATCAGTATAGAAACCATCTTATAAGTCGTCGTTATCAAACTAAAACCATCGTCATTACCATCATCATCATCAATAATATGGAGACCATCATCATTAAGTTAGTAGGTATTCATGAAAGAGCTGGGTCTTTAGCTTTTTCTTAAAGGTGCAGAGGGACTCTGCAGATCGAATGGATGAGATATGTTTGTAGATTTGTTAAACAAAAGAGTGAAAGACCAAAATCTTTTGATAATTATGAGGAGAACGATGACAGTCAACAGAAAATATTCATTCAAACCCACTCTCACTCTTCGTCTAGCCTCCCGCCTCACAAATGCACAGGCAAAAAAAAAAAAAAAGGTAAAACAGCTTCCTGTTACAGCATTAAATTGATTTGGAACAACAAATAAACATCGGTTCCTACCACATTATTTGCTGATGTCTGTCAACAGGGTTTATATTGTCTGATACAGATGTTGAACACAGTAATCCCAACGGAGTGCTTTTGGTTTGCGTATCCATACCTGTGGTCTCTCTGTCTGAACCCGCCTCATACACCCAGAGCCGTAGATAACCGTGTTCTCAGGAATGACTTCACAGGTGTTGACCTGACAGAACGCTCCGATGATACAGCCGCTGGTGAGGATCACATTCCTGCCCACGTCAGCTAGACGACATAAAAAGGGAGGATATTTGATACATCACTGACTTCAGTTTGTTCAAATCCTCCAACTGTCTCTGGAAGCTGAACATAAATGTAAACATCCCCACCTTTTGATTCGATCACGTTGTTGTCCCCGATCTTCAGGGCTTGTGATACTGTTTGTTTCGGCTCAGGCAAAATCGATTTTTACTGAAATGCTTACGAC